TTTTCCTTGGTTTTATTTGAATGGAAGTAAGTTTGTAATTTTTAGGCTCCATAAAGTGTTGGAGTCAAGGGAATGCTTAAATAGGAAGCAAGCTTGTGGATGCTGACATACATTTGTACAAAAATATGCAATGCATTTAAACTCCATATATGAATCCATGAATAGATGTGGTGGATAGTCATTTAATGTCTTGTTGATCTCTTAATGAGAATGTGGATAGGTTTGAAATGTATACTTTTGGATATGTGATCATAGGGATATATTTGAAATATATTATTTCTTCAAGGATGCATATGAGTCTCCAATGATTTATAAGATTATGTCCATAATCTACAGGAGTCTTTATAATTAATGAAACAATAGAGAGAGTCTGGTGTGTTTGGTGTATCAAGATAGGTGACTGATTAGAGATTTGGGCAATTAACATATTTGTGGGGGCGCCTGGGTGGCTCAATGGGTTAAGCCTCTGCCTTCGGCTCAGGTCATGATCCCAGGGTCCTGGGATCAAGCCCCGCATCAGGCTCTCTGCTCAGCAGGGAGCCTGCTTCCCTCTCTCTCTCCGTCTACCTCTGCCACTTGTGATCTCTCTCTGTGTCAAATAAATAAAATCTTTAAAAAAAAAATTTGTGTTTTTCTGTTTGTATGTGTATGGATTGAAAAGAGGCACTGCAAATATTAGTAAATAAATGGCTGAATATGACTAGCGCCATATTTGTGGGAGTCTTAGAATGTCCAAGACTATGCATGTTTGTGTGCATACATGTGTTTGCATCCTCTGATCAAGGACAGATTCACATAGTAATGGATATGGATGATGACATCAGAGGTGATGAGGCCAAGAATGGGATTCTCCTGGGAACAATTCTCATATGGCCTAGATCACTACTCATTGATACCACCTTCTCTATTATTTACACTTTACCTCCTCCCACCACAAACAAACCCTGGGATTCTAGGGTGGTCATAAATTTGTGAGTCCTAGGAAAATGAGCTGATGTTACTCTCCCCAGCTGGACTCACAGACCAGTACATTGAGCTACAGGAAAAAGAACCATCTGCCACCCAGTGAGTGTCCATCCTTTGGATTGCCCATGTGGATTGCTTATCTCGAAGGCGTCCCAAACTTTAATACTCTCACTGCAACTTCAGAGAGACTCTGCCCCTCATATTTTCCCTCCAAACACCAGCCAAATCTTTTTGCTGACAAAGTCAAGGATCACAGATTCTGATGCCAGGTCTCATCTTAACAAAAACCCTAATACCAAACCATATACCCTTAAAGTTAAGGAGATTTAAATGCATCAGATCTAGATTTTATCTTCTGTGTATTCCATGCTTTTGTTTGCCTGCAATTTGAATTATTGTCTCATAAACCTAACTGTTGGATATGCAGCTGGAGAAAAGATCACAGAACCAAATGAACTGAAGTCATTCAGCCTCGTGGTATTCAATCTTAGCTAGATTTTTAGGATTGAATATGTCATGGGAATATAATTGGTGGGGATATTACTGTGGGTCTGTTAATACTGATGTATTATTTGTGGCACTGTGTGTGTATGTGCGTGTGCGTGTGAGTGTGTGCGTGTGTGTGTGTTTATAAGTCTGTATTCTGGAGAGTGTACATATGAGAGGATATCTGAAACATTGTATAATGTCAGTGAGTAGCTATGAGTCTCCCCAGATTCTGTGGTTGTGATGGTGTTGAGTGTGAACAAAGGAGTGCATGATTGTTTCTGTGTGTGTGATGTGAGATAGTCCCCACGGATAGAAATGAATGTTTAAGTGTGTACAGGAGTATAAAGATGTATATTTAATGGCACTTTTGTGTGACCATGTTTATGCTCATCCATATCTTGTGTAAAAGACCCACATTTTTGTGTCTGTCTCCATCTTCTTGACTATTCTTCCTAAATGAGTCACATTTAGGAAGCCTTAACTGACACCCTTATGGTCCAAATAATGAAAAATGTTTGTTAGGTGGTGGCAGAACATGTTTTATTTGGAATAGAAGTTTTCAGAGCTTCTTTCTAGACTGAGGAAAGTCTGGAGTGTCTGCCTGAAATATGACCTTCTGGTTTACCTAAATTTGCACACCAGTATTTAAGGACAGTGGAGTATATATATCTTGTGAGAAAGACCATAGTATCTGTTGGCATGGCACTCTTAAGAGTCTTTCCACTTCTTTAGTATGTGAAAATAATCTTGGAGTGAAGATGATAAAAAACCAAATCTGGGTAGGCGGGATTTGAGAAGACTTTTTGGAGACATTGTCTTTGAACCTGGGTCAGGATAAAGAGAGACATTTAGAGGGGGAATAGGGAAAAGAAACCCTACTCGTTAAAGGATTCTTTTGGATTCTCATTTGGATGAGCAAAAATGAAGAATACACAAATTTCCTTCTCATGGTCCATGTACTTTCAGGATTATTCCTAACATCTGGGGATTCTCCAGCCTCTGGGCACCATCTAATTTCACTGTATTTATTAAGAAGACAGGTGAAAAGATGGAAATTCTAGAAAGTCAAAGGAATAAGGAGTTGTTATAAGAAAATAGGGGAGTCATTATGCCTAAATTCCAAAGGGGAACTTATTTTATTTTTTAATTTCAAATATAGATTTTTCCAGTTTTATTGTGATAGTATTGACATATAGCATGTGTCAGTTTGGGGTATACAGTGTGATGATTGGATACACGTATATACAGCAAAATGAGCCCCACAATAAGATTAGTTAACACCTTCATTCCCTTACACAATTTCCATTGTGTGTGTGTGTGTGGTATGATATTTACGATCTACTCTTTTGATGACTCTCGAGTATATATTACAGTACTGTGAATTATAGTCATTCTGCTATTATTAGATTCACAGAATGTATTTGTCTTGGAGCTGGAAGCTTGTATCCACTGACTAACATCTCCCCATTTCCCTCATCACCCCCATTCTCAGCCTCTGACAAGCACCATTCTGTTCTCTCAAGATTGGAGCTTTAATTTGAGATATCAAGTACCATGGAAATAGGTACAGAGATATTTTGGATTAAGGATGAGAAGTCTTTTTTTTATTTTTTTAAAGATTTATTTATTTATTTGAGAGAGACAGAGAAAGCATGAAGAGGAGAGGTAGAGGGAGAGGAAGAAAGAATATAAAAAAGACTCCATGGTTCCCATGGAGCTCAATGTGGGGCTTGATCTCAATGCCCAGATCATGAGCTGATACCAAGAGATGTACAGTTAACCTACTGTGCCACCCAGGTGCCCTAAGGCTGAGAAGAAGTCTTTCATGGTATGGTTTTCTCAATCTACACCATTCTGACTACTGTTTACTTTTCCTGGAGTTAGACTGCCACTGCTTAAGGAGAAAGACAAAGAAAGAGTCAGTAAAGAAGCTATAAAAAGAGATGTGAAGTAGGAGGAAACTAAATAGCCAACAATATTTACTCTGATGGAGAGCTCACCTGGATGGAGAGAGAGAATGTTTTCATCCAGTTGAGCAACAAAAAGGTGACTGGTGAGCATAGAGGTGAGCACAGAGCAATTCATTTTAGTTGGTAGGGGAAGTGTGGCAATCACAATATAATAAATTGAACAGTGATAGAAGGTAAGGCCAAGTTTGAAACGTTGATGTGAAATGTGTCAGCCTGATGATTCACAGACCTTTACCCCTGGAGCCAATAATACATTATATGTTAATGAAAATAATTAAAAAAATAAGTTTGGAACCTTGACTTTCAGGATCTGAGAATGGAACTAGAAAAGCAGACATCTAAAAAGGCTCCCTTTCCATGATAGGGAGACAGTGTTTCAAGGAGTTTGACTAAGAATTAAGGAAGAATTAAGAGAGGGACTGTTATATTTTTATGGTGGTCTGTCTGGTCTTATACATGTTTTATTGCCTGAAGGGAAAGAGACAGGAAAGGAGAGACTGAACTTGCTGTACAGTAGACTAATGGGAGTGGTTTCTGAAAGAGATAGCAAAAAATAGAATTCTGGAGGTAGAGGGCTTGGCCTTGGACAAGGGGAGACACCCCTTTCTCAGAAACCAGTGGGTGAGAACAGATAAAGATGTGAGTTTAAAATTTAAGTAGTGTTAAAATGACTCTGTCAGTCTGTCTCTCTGTTTTCCAATAAAACACTTGCTTCTTTGGTTTTATCCAGCTGTACACTCAGAAGTTTGGTTATAGAAGTTATCAAATGTTGGTGTTTCCTGTATGAATGTGAAAGAGAAACAAAAAGAAGATAAGGGTACCAGTCCCAGTGGGAGAGTGGGTCAAAGAAAAAGTAAGGAGGAACTCACAGACAAATAGGCCAGGATAATATAAGAGAGTTATTAAGACACTGAGAGCACTGTATGGGTTTGAGAAGGTAGGAGAGGTGGAAGGTAGAAGGCTATCATAATAAAGTAAAAAATAAAGGAATTTAAGATTGCAGAGGTGGAATATTTTTTGGTAATGGCAGGTCCAGGGATAGTTGTGGGACTGGGAGTCTGAGGAGACCTGAGTAAAGGTTATTGAAGCTATAAGTTCACAGGGTAGAAGTTTCATCTGCACCATCAACCGAAGGATTCACAAAGGAATGGGTGGTGTTTCTTTTTCCCTGTTTATCTTAATTTCTATATGTCCCAGATTTCCAAAAGATGGCTTCTAGGATGAGATGGGGGAAGTGAAGGAATGATGCACTTTAAGGTAAAGATTAGGGGCATCATTCATGCTGTCTCCTACTTATTGCCCTGCCATGCCATAGCACTCACCTGATCATCACATCTTCATGGAGTTTCTACCATGGCCTAGACAGGGTACTGAGCACTGGTAATAGAGAAATGAGTAGAACCCAGTTACTACCCTCAGAGAGCTCATAGTCTAATGAGAGAAGCAGGAACATAGACAAACACTTTCAATCTCTAACCTTTTGTGTTGGAGACAGGAGGTCTGAAAGAAAGTGAAGAACTCCCCAAAACACCCACCGGGGGTCACCCCCTGTCTGTATTCTCCCACCTGCCTGCCATGCTGAGCCTCAGTGATACCCCCTTCCAGCCAGCCACACTCCAGCTGACAGGCATTCCGGGGATGCAGAGAGGCCACAACTGGGTTGTCCTGATTTTCTGCATCCTCTACCTGATTTCCATCATAGGCAACCTCAGCATCCTCACTCTGGTGGTTCGGGAGCCTGCTCTGCACCAGCCCATGTACTACTTCCTCTCTATGCTCTCTCTCAACAATCTGGGAGTGTCCTTCTCTACACTTCCCACTGTGCTTGCTACCTTCTGCTTCAACTACTGCCACATTGGCTTCGATGCCTGCTTGGTTCAGATGTTCTTCATCCACACGTTCTCTTTCATGGAATCAGGCATACTGCTGACCATGAGCTTTGATCGTTTTGTGGCTATTTGTGACCCACTACGCTATGCCACTGTGCTCACCAACAGCCGCATCTTGGCTATGGGCCTGGGCATCCTTGCCAAGAGTTTCATCACACTCTTCCCTTTCCCCTTTCTGGTAAAATGTCTGCCCTTCTGCAAGGGCAGAATCTTGCATCATTCATACTGCCTCCATCCAGATCTCATGAAAGTGGCGTGTGGAGACATCCACGTTAACAACATCTATGGGCTTTTTGTTGTCATTTTCACCTATGGCATTGACTCAGCATTCATCCTGCTTTCCTATTCATTGATCCTGAGAGCTGTGTTGGCCATCGCATCCCAGGAGCAGCAGCTCAAGGCACTCAACACCTGCATATCACACATCTGTGCAGTGCTGGCTTTTTATGTGCCCATAATTGCTGTCTCCATGATCCATCACATCTGGAAAAGTGCCCCACCTGTTGTTCATGTCATGATGTCCAATGTCTACCTGTTTGTACCTCCTATGCTCAACCCCATCATCTACAGTGTGAAGACAAAGGAAATACGCAGAGGGATCTTCAAAATTCTTCATAAATCCCAGAGCTGAGGAAGGCTACTAAAAGAAGTCCTTTGTAGAAAGGACTGGGGCTGGTTTGCCAGCTTTAGGAATCCTAAAACACGGGGAGGGGAACCAAAATCTTGAGAGCTGGAATATGGAACTAATAAGAGAACATTTGACTCAATAAAATGTCATAAATATATACTGAACATTTACCATGTGAAAATTTTGTGCTAGTCGCTAAGAATGTTATAATGGTGAATAAGGCATATTGTTAAGTAAGATATATATCAAGGAAAAAAACATAAAATGAGTAACAGATGCCCTGAAAAATGTGTGGTATATATGGAAACAATGGAAATTTTACCGAGCAAACAGGCTGAGCACAAATAATGCTACTACCACTCAGAGTGAGGGAAATGATAGACATTAGACAGCAAATTCTGTGGAGGTTTGGTGCTTCATGTTCAAGAGAAGACCCCCATTTCATGTTCAGAGATCAAGATTAGACTCTGTGTGTGTGTGTGTGTGTGTGTGTGTGCATGTGTGTGTGTGTGTGTTTATATAAAGTAATTTGTGAAGGATGAGAGGGGTTAGGGTACTTGGTACAGGGTGATAGGAAAAAGAGAAGGTTATGGTCTTAGCATAAATAACTGCCTGAGAAGAAATCTTCAGGCAAAGGAAGTTTAGAACCTTATGTTCCAAGTATGGCCCAGTGAAGAGCAGCATTGGTATATCTGGTAGTTTTTTAGAGAAACAGAATTTTAGACCTCACACCAGACCTACTGAATTCAAGTTGTATTTAGTAAGACCCATGGGTGCTTAAAGCTTGAGAAGCACAGTGCTACTCTTTCAAACACCTCTCAGGTAATGTCCATGTGATGTGTAGTAAAAATAACAAGACTCATGTGTTACAAGAGTCTGGAAAAGTGGTTCTCAAAGTGTAATTTCCAGACAGCATCACCAGCAACGCATGGGAATTTGTTAAGCATGAAGATTCTCTGGCTCTTCCTCAGATTTCCGGAACCAGAAAATCTGGGAGGTGAGGTCTAACAAGCTGTGTTTTAATAAATTCTCCAGGTAATTCTGATATAATTCTCTAAGGTTGAGAAGCTTTAACCTAGAACATTAGTCTAGAATATTTAGAAGAATTGCAAACAGATTTGTTTAGACAAAGGGGAAGTTTCAATTGAGAAATTTGGGAAGTACAATCTTGAGAAGATTGTGTGTGTGTTTTTTTAATATTTTATTTACTTATTTATTTATTTGTCTTTAAAGACTTAACAAGGTTTTTGTTGGGGGCGAGTCAGGTAGGCATCTTCTATTGGTAATATCAAAATTGCAGACCTCCAAGAGGAAATCAAGTGCTCAGCATAAATCACATTGTTTGCATAAACAGTTTAGGCCTAGTGAGTCACCCTCAGCAGTTTGGGTTGTGGGAAACCCCTGGAGATCCAAGTTCCCAGATGCCAACCGAGGGCCTCTTTGCAACATGACCATTCTAAGAATATGCTGTCTTGGACCTGCTATGTTAACTCTTTCTGCACACTGAACACCCAACTAATAAAGAGTCTCTTGAGTAGAGTCAAGCTTGTGCCATGAATAAAACTGAATATACATGAGGTTTTCATAGTAAAGAACAAAACATCCCTGAGAAGGTTATTCCATGAAATTTGGTATAGGTGATTCCATGAAGGATAAAATCAACTACAGGTATTGGTGGTGATCTGGGAGAATGGAGTTCTGACAGTCACCTATACTCGTAGACCAGAAAACTTAGTTGAAGATTCTGTATATTGTCATGCCACAAAAGCATTCAATGAAGCAAGAACCCAAATGTTCCACCTGTTTAAGTAAGAATCACTGTTCCCTGGGTTTTGAGGACTAGAACTGTTTCCAGCATTTGCTCATGTGGGTCTGCTCTGTCTTATGAAAACTCTCCCCATGTGCACACCCTTGAATTAACACAAGATCAAAGATAGCAGAGAAGTTATCACACTGTGGGTGAGCACACAATGTCTGAGGGCACTTTGGCATATATGTATTTTCTCATGGTGTCTCACAATTAAAAGTCCTCAAATAATCCCAGCAAGGGCCTGCTCTAATTGTTCTGCTTGACCAAGATCCAGTCACAGGGCTCATGGCTTCCAAAGAGTGCCAACTTACCCCCCTTTCCCCTGACACCCTTGTCCAGAAGGTTATTCCAAGGATGTAGTGTGCACAAACAAGATTTTTTTTATTTATTTTGGGGAGAGACAGAGAGAGAGAGCAGGAGGAGGGGCAGGGGAGGATGGAGAGGGAGAAGCAGACTCTATGCTGAGATCAGTACCTGAGCCAAAATCAAGTCAGACACTTAGGCTTAATCAACTGAATCCCCCAGAGGCCCCATGGGTGGTTTTGAAAGCTGGGAGGAGACTGAGTGAAGGGCAGGGGCATATGGTGCTGTGGTGAAGGGAAATGCAGATCACAGCCTTTTATCTCCACGAGGTGGTGCAGGTGGAACACTGCAGAAGGATTTCATGAACAATCCCCCAGCCATCCCACAGTCACTCTGAGGCCCCTGTCCAACCCTGTGATTCCTTTCTTTACCCCCCAGTTCTCACCCCATGCCATCACAACATACCTGGAATCCAAAATTCAGTCAAGCTCTAATTTTAAGGCTGCCCTCTAGGCAATTAGAACCTAGAGGGGAAAACAAAAACAACAACAACAACAAAAAAAACCTGTTGTTTGTCACAGTGAGATGTGGGACCTTGCCAGTTGTCAGCAGAATTTCAATGTATACAAGTCCCCTGACCAACACCTCTTCTGAGGCTTCTCTCTCCTTTCTACAAAGTCTATGAACTTCTTTCTAAACAGTGTATTTCTTTTTTAGAAGCGATATGCCTACTCTGGTTATATTCTTCTACACCAAACATGTACCTACTTTGCTTTGCTCTATTGTGGACAATACCGCTTAATACTCCACAGGGCACATTTATTTCTCTACTTAAGCTTTATGGGGGAAAGTGTTGCATAATTTCCCATAGATAACCTTTAACACTTATATAAGTCCCCTTTGTTGGGATTTGTACAGATGCTAGGTTTACTATTGTCACTCCAAACCAGTACTTAGGGTTTCTGTTGACTTTTCCTGTCAATTAATGGAAACAGAATCTTCAGAAACTGAATCTTTAAAAAGGACTTTTTAAAAGTAAAAAACAAAAGCAAAAGCAAAAAACAAAAAACAAAAACAAACAAACAAAAACAACAAAAGAGATAATGACAGTTAAACCTAAAATCCTGCGCCTAGCAGTGTTTGGTACACCCAGTACATGTTAATTCAATGAACAACCAAATGACTAATTAAATAAATGAATGAATTGGATCTGATCTGATGCCTGTTCCCCATCATCTTGTCCCTAATGACATACCTAGACTCACTTGACTCTATGACTTCTCAAAGTCTTGCCCCTTCTCACCAGGGGCTTATGCCCAACCTGCATTGATTTGGTCTGTTTTTTTTCTCCTGTGATTCTCTGACTTCATTCACAAGGTTGTCATCTGCATTTTCTTCAATTCCATCTCCAGGGTCCCAACTCATTCATCTGATCCAAGAAATTCTACAGTAGTGGAAAGCGAAAAGTGCTCTTTGGAGATATTTCTCTTGGAGATATTTCGAAGTTCCTCATAGGGAAGGGGAAATTTTCTCTATATCTCTCTTCTGTTTGCTTTCCCTAAGTATCCCACTCCTCAGTTTATAAAGGGGAGAGAGCTCTCCTGCTATGCCTTCTTTTTTATTTTATTTTACTTTTAAAATTAACATATAATGTATTATTTGCCCCAGGGCTACAGGTCTGTGAATGATCAGGCTTACACACTTCACAGCACTCACAATAGCCCATACCCTCCCCAATGTCAATAACCCAGCCACCTTATCCCTATCCACCACCCCCCAGCAACCCTCAGCTTGTTTTGTGAGATTAAGAGTCTCTTATGGTTTGTCTCCCTCCCGATCCCGTCTTGTTTCATTTTTTTCCTTCCCTACACCCAACAATTCGTACCCTACCTCTCAAATTCCTCAGATCAGAGAGATCATATGATAACTCTTTCTCAGATTGACTTATTTCGCTTTCCTGTTATGGCTTCTTTAAATATATCTTTATCCTATTTGAAACTGAAACAAGGATGAGGCCAACTGAAATACTTAGTGGGAAGATTAAATATTTGGGAAAGAATTTATTAGGGGTATTTGAAATTGGGGAATCCAGCAGAATTTAGGGTAAGGATAATTATCATGTGAGGTACAATCACATTAAAAACTGTTTCTTTCTTCTTTTCATTTGAATATCTACCCCTATATATAGGTACTAACCCCTTATGAATTGAGTTCCAAGTTCAAGAAATGCTAATCTCTTGAAATCATGAAGCTGGTAGATGGTAAAACTAGGACTCAAACCTACCTCTGTGGGACTGTGAACCCTACAGTCTTTCAGCATCCTAGGATGTCTCTCCTGAATGAGACCTCTGAATTTAGTGAGGGGTTGAGTGTAAGGGATGGGAGTGAGAATTGAATAGGGAACAGCTACGATGAGTGGGTGAAGGAAGCTCAGTCATATCCCTTATTGGTAAATTCCTGGGCTCCAAGCTCTCTTCTCTTGAGCTCTGAGTCCCAGAGTTTGCCCACTGGGGTCTAAACTTTAGGTTCTGCCTGCAATACAGGCTTTAAGTCCAGAATTTGAGGATGTAGATTCCTGGTTCTGGGCTGAGAGTTCCAGTTTCGAGACTGGATTATTGGGGGTCAAGAGGATGTTGCCATGGAGACTGGGGGATTTGTCTTCATCCTCTGCATCACAGGGAAACTGTTGAGATTTTTATTTCCTGTGCAGAGAGAGGGAAGTATATTTAGGGGATGTATTTTTCTTTCCTTTCTCTTCCCAAGGGGAGATATAATCCCCCTCCTTTTCTCATCACTAGCTCAGCATCACCCTCAGGCACACCAGGGCCCCAGGGTCCTGGCCCCTGGGGTCTCTCACTCAGAGACATATAGAGTCCTCCTCCCCTCTTGC